TTATAAATCAGTAACAAGTGTACCTAATTTATACTTTGAACAACCAAATTTATTGACCTTTATGCGACAAACAATATACATTCATGATGTGAAACGAAGCGAGTCGGTCATCCATGATGAGCTCGAATTGTGAGGTTTGAGCTCAGTTTGGCTCGTCTGATGAACAAGCTAAGCCCAAACTCATTTAAAGCTCGAAAAAAAAATTATTTAATTGAACTAGATGTCGACTCGTTAATTAAAGTTCGAATTCAGCTCGTTAATGTTGATAAATGTGTCAACTTTGAGTCATTTATTGACTTGTTTAATAAATTATTAACAACTTGATAAAGACTTGAATTGAGCTTGAGTTTCATGAGCTCGGGCTCGACTCAACTCGTTTACACCCCTAATTTTGTGACAATTGACAAAGGCGAAAAAAAAAAAAAAAAAAATCAGTTGTTGCCTTTAACTTAAGGAAGCAGTAAATAATGCTCAAAAAATATCTTAAATGCACAAATTTTACTAGTCAAAAGTTTTGGAAGGAATATTTCACATTAATATGCTAGGAAATAGAAGGGAAATATATAATTGTTAAGCTACAATCTTAGGGTAGGTAAAATTACACTTCCAAAAGGATATTGACTTTAGAATTGTAATAATGTATTTTCATTAAAGCATTTCACTTTAATTCTTTTTCCTTTTCTTTTTTTTCCCCTACTCTTTTTAAATCCTAAGGAACAAATATATTTTCTCTTAACTAGGACGAGAGTCTATTTATAACAAAACGCACATAATGAGAAATTGAGAACATATTTTAATGTAAAGCTTATAATAGTGAGAAATGCTATGGTTCCGTTACGGTACCGTCTCGTCGAGTGTTTTAACCCATGTAGTTAGTATAAGATAAATTATCCAACGGTTAAAACACCCGACAAGATGGCATCGTAGCAAGATTGTAACATTTCCTTATAATAATAATTTGGACTAACCAAATTGGAGAATCTTACATCAGCATGAAGTAACTGTGTTTTAATTTTAATTTCTGTTTATCCGAAATAATTGAGGTGTGTGAGGAATATTATTACATCGAGTGTCATAATATAAAAAACTTAGGCATATAAATAATAAGATTAATACAATATGGAATGTAATAATGTAAAACCTTAGGCATATAAATATTAGTTTAATTATTTATATAAATATATAAGAAATATTGATTGGTGTGCTTATATATATTGCACGTGCATTTCATCAATATAGTTGCATAATGATGAAGCTGATGTTTACGCAAAATAGGTAGTCACGTTTTATTATATAAGACTTGCGTTACTTTATAACTGTAATTTTAAATAATATAAACATATGTATAATGCAGAAGATATTTCTATATAATTTTATTTAGAAAAATTACGGATCTAATCTTGTAGTTGTCTCACAATCAGGGTGGATTTAATTAGGCAGGGACTGAAAAGGCACAAGCACTGTGAAATTTTTGGAAAATATATTTTATGTATATATGTATGAATAGAATAATTAATGCATGAATAATTAATGTATAAATAAGTAGATATCTCATTCAATTATTTAAAAAAATGTACATTTAGCTTCTATGCATAAATAAATAGATATCTCATTCAATTATTATTCTAAAGAATTACGTAAGAACTCTTACTCTTATTTCTCAAGCGAGCCGAGTCAATGTAGGATCATAAGCTAAACAAACTCATGCCCTACTCTTAATTTCTCATGCGAGACGGGTCAATGAAGGCTCGTAAGCTAAAGAAACTCATGCCCTACTCATTTCTAAAGCGAGCGAGTCAATAGGCTCGTAAGCTAAAAAGACTCGTGCTAACATGTCTGGCTGAGCCGAACTAGCTCCTACATAAACCAAGTCGAGCCCACAAGAGTCTCAGTTCATTTAACAAAAAAGGAGCCAGCTAATGCAAATTTCACAACCCAAGAAACAGTATAAATGCAACACCAAAGACATATCCCCTATCTCAATGCCTTAAACATGAAATGATAATCTTAAACTATAAATCCGCAGTGCATTTGATAAGACCACTAAAAACCACACAATCAACGAAAAATAAACCCTCATCCCGATTTTTAAACCAAGTATACAACCTTCGACAAATTGTTCTCCCATTGAATACATCATTCACAGATCCTGCAAAGGATCTGTTTTCTTTCCAGATCGTGCATCGGTCCACGCTTTGGCAATTGTTCTTTTCATATCTTCATCACCTTCTTCATACATGTTCTGCAAAACGAATTTTTGTTGACAAATAAACCGTCACAAACAAAAAAGAAGCCACATAAAACATAAAGAGAAGCAAAAAACAAGCCGATCATTATGTTGCTTAAGCTCTCTATACCTTCATCAGGTCCATTATTCCAGCCATTGGATCCCGCTCTTTATCTAAATTCGGCTTCAACTGTAAAAAATCATAAATTGCACATTACAACCTACTTCATAGTACTACATAATGGTTGTCATCGGATATATTCTTGATTGGTTTTTTTGGTTAACCATAGTTAATTTTGAAAAAGTTGGGTCAGATTTTTGTATTAAAATAATATTTAAAATATAATAATTAAAATTGATCTAATGTAAAAGAATGAGATGTGTGATTGAAGGTGATGAGTAGTTAAAATTAAGTGAGTGGATAAATGATAAATTAAATTATGATGTAATCGTGTGAGGATTATTGATTGAAATTATTTAATTATATTGATAATACTGAAAAGGATTGGAGTTGAATTAAATATGAATTTAATTTAAGTTCAGAGAATTCGTTACCTTGTCTTCTTTGAAGTGCAAATCCAACCAGTTCCCTTTAGAAGCTTTGATTAGAGTGATTACCACTCTCTTAGGCTTCACAATGAACTTGCATTTCTCCGGCACAATCTCTTTGTTCAGCTTAGGCACAGCACACCTGTAATTCTTTCCTTGGACATCGTGAAATTTGATATCGAACGACATGGGCTTGAATTCAGCCTCAATCTTTTCCCGATCAACCCCTTCAAGTGATACATAAATCTGAGAAAAAAAAAAAAATATTAGGACTAATACAGAGTTGATGCAAACACATATTCAAAGAAGTCGTAACATGAAAGATCACGAAATCACGAGATATGACAAAATTCTCACCTTCAGATGATCGGTATCTTGATCCCAGCTGAAGGAGCTAAGAGTAGTATAGCTCAACAATGGTTTTAGTGATGTTGATACTGGATTTGGTGTGCTGTTGGTTGGTGCCGAAAGAACCTCTTTTGAAAGCTGGGAAAGAGTCATTCGAAAATTTGATTAATTTAGAAACATTACGCATAAGTTTTCAACAAAAGCTTGTTATATAAAGGATAAAGAAAATGGATCACTCTAAAACATGTTTTAACTATTAAGGCATGTGAATAAACATTAATAGCCGAGTGGTTCCGACCAAAGTGCAGCTCATTTTCTGTAACTTACTTAAATTATAAACACACGGGACATCTTTTATTTCACTTAATCACATATGCTTGATATGCAAACACAACATAATGACTTGATGGCTGTGTCCACTATATGCTACAAATATAGCATCAGTCAATAATCCAACCCATTTTACTGAACACATTACTTAAATCTCATGCCAGTTTAACGATACATTCGAGGTGGTTTCGCAACGAATTTACAGAATTGTACAATACACTTTCTACCTTTAAACATGCTTTCAAGTTCATAAATCCTCGTAAAACATAGGAAGCAAATTCCTTAGGTGATTTCTAAACCAATTACACGCTAGTCATATCCTAAAAGATTTAACAAATTGATTTTCCCTAAGGGTGACAATTGTTGGAACGAAAATTTCAGTTAAACTTGGAGATATTATCATATTTATGATCAAACACATAGATAACATGAAAAAAAAACCATAGCGGAACACGAACACGATACTGTTAACACGATTCACCACCCGTAATCTTCCCAGAGCAGAACTTCTTGCCAGATTGAATGAAATTGTTTTACCCACACCTTCATAACTAAAAATTCTTTCACTAGGCTTGATAGGCAGATCGAATTAAAGCATCAGTCATTCAAAACAATTTATACAGAACTTTATCAAAATACTTTACTCAAACCATAAACTAACAAATGTACCACCACACAAAGTTCAACAATGAAGAACATCTGGCAGAACAAAACCAAACTGCATCTATCATTCTCATAAACAAATAGCCACAAAAGCACAATAAACAGAATCGTGAAGCTCAGCCATTACTCTTTCAAGCTCTAAGGCTTGACCTTCACATCGAACAAGAAATTTTCGCAGCGTATATGAGTTTTTTTTTTTCAGGTACCTTTTCCAGGTTGCGAATCTCGGAGGAAATCAGAGATGCAACGCGCGGTCTCTTAGCGATGCTTTGGAGACGCTTCAATTCCTCTAAGTCCAGCGCCAAATCTTCACTGTCCGCCATTTTCGATCTGCTTTCACTGCTGAAATTGAACTATTGAACTGAAGTAAATGCCGACTTTGAGAAAAGCTACTGATTAATATTCGGATAAATGGAAATTGCTAGAACCCTCCGGATGTAATTTTTAGTTTTTTAGTACTCACATTTCAACCTTCAGAAAAAAATAATATAATATAGGCAAATACTGCGAAATTATTCTGTCGGGATTTGTAATTGTTAGATCAATTATTCCTGACAGTTATATAATAATCTAACGGTTACAAACTCTGACAGAATGATTCCGTAACGAGACTGTAAATAATACTACCTCCTATTCGTTTTAAATGTCATTTTGACATTATCAACTATTAACAAAATAAATGACGTTTTAGAAATTTTGTACATATTTTTTCATTATTACCCTCATCTAGCTAATAAATACACTGCGTCTTTTCATATTCACTCTTCATCTTTTCTTAAAACATTCATCTCTATCCTCATTAATGAGGGTTATTATTGGCAAAAAAAAATATTCTTAATAATTGTGCAATTCCCTAAAAAATATTCTTAATAATTATGAATAGGAGGGAGTGATAATTATGGAAGATTCTAGAACTACATGCAAGATCAGAAAGTCGAAAGGGGCCAATTGAAAATTAGTGTAAGTGGATTCAGTTATTGGGCCGTAAGCCTGGCTAGGATCTATTTCACTATTGGGCCTTGTGTTTTGAACAGTTATTTTATTTTTTAATAAATTTTCAATAATTAGTGGCCCAGTACCATAGTTTTTAAACCCGGCCCGGTGATTGACCCGGGAAGGTCTCCGGGTCATCGGGTCACCGGTTCAACCGCCGGGTCACCGGGTCAATTGCTGAACCGGATAATTAATTTTAAAATT